GGAGTTGGGAGTAGCCGGCAGGATAGGGCCGCTGTCCGGATTGGGGTTGGACATGTCTGGGGATGCCGCGCGAGACGGATATAGAGAAGTGAGGCGTGAGAGCGGGTCGTTATACCCGAGATGCAAGTTTGTCGGCATGTACGAGGATGGGGGTTTAGAAACGTGCGGGGCTCATAACCACTTAGGTTGAGAGAATCACACAGCGGATGAGAGCAGTGCGAGCTGAGTTTTCCTCGCTCGAGTTCGTCTATTATTTATACTACTAGTTTGTAGGGGCTATAGGCCTCCTCTACTTTAGATTACTCATACGAATTCTATGGGCACGGCTTGCCATCGGTTTCAAGTGTAGCTCCGTCCGACTACTAAATTCATTACAACAGGAGTAACCTCAGTCAGCGCGCTGCGGAGAGCACGTGACTTTACTCATGACGCCGAGACTGACGTCGTGTCATTCTCGTCTCGCTTTATTCAACAAGAACAATACCTCAGGAAGTCAGCTTTCAGGTGGGGGATACGAATTGCCTACGGGCTCAACTATAGCCTTGCAGTCAGTCCTCGCCTGGAACCTTAAAGTGAGCCGCATCCCTCTTCTACGATATCTATAATTGGGGCTGATCTAACACGTTTCATGTTTAAGATCAATTTGCCACAAGTGATTTGCTTCCTCCAGAGCACTCGAGCGATGAAACTAAACAAATCTTCAACAGCTTCTTATTGCCTTTTTCTCTTCGCTGATAATGCTTTGCCTCGCCATCCGGCTCGGTGGCATTCGAAATCGCGGCAAGAGCCCGTCGATACTGAGCGTTGGCGTTCTCGAGATGATCTGGCTCGCCGACCACGATCCGCTTATGCGATCCAAAGTTGGCGAAGTGGAAAACCCGACCGTCGATAACTTGAGAGCGGCCGGGATGTTCGAGGTTTGCTTCACGGATGTATGATGAGTTTTGCGCACATGGAAGAATGGATGACAAGTGGCGTCGATAAGTCGGATTGACTCAAGTCTATTGATAGATGAAGAGAGTGCCTAGTCTTGGACTTCTCCCGATGTATTAGTGCACAAGCACAGAATTCTAAGTTAACATGGCATCCCCGTTCAATACCACACACTCCGCGTGCGATGCGCATGCCCGATTGGCGTCGTGTCGATACCCTCAATCCTGTCCTCACCCTGCTCAATCCGCTTCGCGAGGTCCCAGAGATAAAAGTCGATGAGCACGCTACTCACTTCCTCCCCATCCTCGCCCATATCCTCTCTTATCCGCACAATCTCCTCCTTGACTCGCTCGACACCGACGATGCTCCCGGACCTCAGACTCACCTCCTCCCTGCTCCCGTGCGGGACGAGCTCGCCGCGCTTCAGCAAGTGCGTGAGCGAATCAGGGTAGGAGAGGATGCGCAGGTGCGCCATGATTTGCGGGACGCGGTAGTCCGCGAACATCGTCAGGTCGCGGATACGCGGGCCGGCTGGGCCGGGAAATAGCGGGTGAGGGTTAGGGTTTGAAGGTGCGGGGAAAGGAGAATATTGCGATGAGGGAGAGGGAGGGGGAGGAGGGTAGAACGCAGCCCATGTTTCTGCAACAAGGATCTGGGCGCGTTTCCAGAAGTGAACTATGCATAACAATGGTGTTTATGCGTAAGTAATCAACCCCAGTAACATTTCAGTAAGCATGCATGGTCACAAAACACGTACTTTTATGGCCTTCGTACAGGCATTCGTCTCGGAAAGACGGGAACGTGTTGACCACCATGTTCACGAGCCCAAGTGCAGTGCCTTGCCCTTGCTCGCGCTCCTGGTACGCGTTTATGAAGTTTTGGTATGATCCATCAAAGTCCTGCATGTGGAGGACAAGGGACGTGCATTAGCCTCCTCGCTTCAAAAGTCACGGATTTGTAGATGGTGGGGATGCGCATACCTCGCATAAGGTCCTTCCCACTTCGCGTAGAATCGCAATACGCTCTTTGAGAAGCGGGATACTCTTCTCTCCACATTCACGTGCGGGACGGAATACGTGTTCAATGATCGCGTCCGGGCAACGCTCGGGGGACGCGTAGAATGCAGGCTCGGTGATGGGTATGCCTTCTTCTATGGCTATATGCGTACCCGTGCGACCCGCAATGAACAAGTGACGCACGATACTGAGCAATTTTGAGAATGGACGTGAAGTTGGAGGCGTACCACGATCAAGCGCAGCAACCAAGCTCCAATACCCGGTGTGCACCACCTTCTCTCCCTCTCCTTCGCCTTTGCCCCCCGCATCCCACCCCTCGCGCCACTCAACACCGTACCGCTCCTGGTCGTCCCGGTCGGACCAAAAGCTAAAGTTGAGCGAGGCGACGACAAACAGCCAATCGAGCACGCGGCGCGTGGCTGGGTCGTGCGGGTCGTATGGTTCTGGTGGGAGGAGATGAAGCGGGTGCGTGCGCCAGGTGCGTGGGGTGTACGATGCGGAGGCGAGGTGCGAGGCTATCTGCAAGACGATATGACATGGACGTATAAGATATGACCGAGAGGCAGAAAGCAGCGAAAGGAGACGCACGTATCGCGCAGCGGCCTTCACACCATCATCGTTGATCTGGACGAGGTTCGTGGCCTACTTTGGCGTTGCGCAGGACGTTAGCCGCGGTGTTGTTGTGCAATAGATAGGGATGGGAATGGGAATGGGACAGACGAACTTGGAGGGCGTACTCGGCGCTTATCACCACTGGGTTTGGGTGGTCGCATCTCTGTTCGCGGATGGCGTCTGCATCTCCCATCTTGTCAAGCTCTATTCAGATGTTGAGACTAAAATGGGATGGTCGGGCGCTTGACTTGAAGTAAGTTTTAGGACCGTGTCAGCTCCTGGTCGTCGTGTGCTTTGTTGGGTCGATGGTCGGTGCTGATTGCAGCGACGATGACCTTCAGGCTGGAAGAACGTGGGCGTTGAGGTAGACAGGTCGCCGATTCTATATAGCTAAAGTAGCCTTTTCTTTCTCACTCCTTGACGTTACAGTTTACGTTTAGACTTTTAGCCGCGAAACAGCGGCGTAGCCATTAATTGCGGTCCTCTCCGGGGCGCTACGGTTTTCTACTCACACTCGGGGTGAAATAGGGTGAGATGTGGCCCGGGGTACTACAGCATTGACTAGTGCGTCTAGCGCTCGTCACACCCTTGCCCTCGACTTACTCTTAACTGGAGAGATATGTCGGAAATCTGGACTTTCGGTTGCAACCGAGGCCGTTGTGGTTAGGGTTAGAACGCCGTTGCAACCGGTAGCGACGGATTGCCATTGCCGCGGCACCGCCGGCGGCAATGTATAAGCGATCGAGATCAGTTGCAATCGATTACAAGCAGTCTGTCAGCGTGTATTTTGGCGTTCTGCTCGCTCCCGACGTACTGTGCCCATCTCTTCGTATGTAACTCGACATATAGCTCCCTCTTTACTGTACTTGCCCTGTAAAATGTCGCATCTCGTCAACAAACCCCAAACTGCACCAACACCAGATGAAGATGGGAAGAAGGCCTGCCCAATATGCGGCCAACGCTTTAAACCTCGAGGTTGGGTCACACACACACGATCCTGCGAGGAGAAAAAACGAGATCGAGAGACGGATAAGAGGTTTGAGAGGAAACTCCGTAAGGCAGAAAAGGCTGGTGAGCCCGCAGCATATAGATTGCAATCCTAGGTTATCATCTTCATGCACTTGTGATGGTGTAGCAATGAGACGAAGACTTTATGCAAGCCTTCTGACCACATCACCAAGCGAGAAGAATTCCCAAAGTAAAGGTACTGTCTTCAATATTTGATCTTGTACTTAAGTAATCATGCTACATCAACAAAAAGAACCCTTGCCCCAGGAGCCGCTGCAGCCACTTGACTCGGAGGAGTATACTTACGATTTTGACGAGTACAGGCCAGGTACGTCACCAGTGTCGCCACAGATAGAAAATCCACAATTCAAGACTTTCCTTTTACATAGATGATGAATCCCCTCCCACGTCTCACGCGCCCGAAATCAATGCACAGCTGGGTGACATTCAGACCATCTACCACCCCCGAAGTGGCCGTGTACCGGTTGTAGAGCCGCTATCTGACTTCGATCGCCGACGTCATCCTGACACAACTGCAGTCCATGCGAGCGGAGATGAGTCACCATGGACACCCTGGCGCTCCAGAGAGGACTTTGAGCTGTCGGAGCTTGCTATTGAGGGGGCTTTATCACACGAGCAGACTGACCGTTTAATCAAACTTATCCACAAGTGCGTTGCTAACCCCGGAGCATTCACGCTTCAGGGATGTGATGAGATGAAAGCCACATTTGAAGCAGCGTCGAAGACATTGACTCCGGTGAGGCTTAAGTCATAAAGTATACGCTTGAGCGCCCGCTTTGGGCGATATTCACGCGGTTCTATTATGCATAGTTCGAGAAACACGATATCCCCGTTACATTCAACGAGCAGAATGCAACTTTTAACTTTGAGCTCTGGGACCGTTCGCTCTGGGACTGGGGCCTTGACCTCCTATCAAACCCACGGCTCCAGCCCCATTTTGTTTTTGATGCTCAGCGAGTTTCAAAATATAATGGGACACAGTTTGTACGGTTCATTGATGAACCGTGGACTGCCAATGATTTCTGGACCGTTCAAGTGCGTAACCTTTTGCTGTAACCTCAGGTGCCCTATAACCCTTTCATCCTAGTCACAACTTCCAGAGGGAGGGAAACCTTTCGCATTCATTCTCTATGCCGATAAGTCAGTATTATCTTCATTTGGGACCCAAAAAGGCTACCCAGTAGTAGCACGATGCGCAAATCTCCCAGCAAAACTCCGAAATAGTACAGGTCCTGGCGGTGGTCAGGTTGTAGGATGGTTGCCTATTGTGAGCTATTTGTTCTCCCATTCTAGTGCTCGTGCATTATTAATTGCTACAATAATATTGTCAGGTCGATGAAGAAGACAAATACAAGGGAACAACTGACTGGGCCAACTTCAAGAATATTGTATGGCATAAATCGTTTGAGAAGCTATTCGAGTCGCTGGAGGGATATGCCAAAACTGGCTTCTGGTTTAAGTTTCAGGACGGCTCCCGGGTGTGGCTGTTTCCAATTATACTTATACTATCAGCAGACTTCGAAGAGCAGTAAGTTTTTCTGTGGTAAGTTAATTGGCTGCGCTTGATAATATACATTTGTTTACAGGTGTCAAATGACGGCTTTACGTGGTGGGATGGCCAACCATCCTTGTCCTGTTTGTCTTGTCGAAAAGAAGGATCTTGCCAGTAGCACGGAGCCTTTCCGTTTTCGGACTTCTGAGCAGTCCAAAGCAGTGTACGAGGAGGCCATGTCAGCTAGGAATACGACGGTGAAGGAAGAGACCCTCAAGAAATATGGCCTTCGGCCTGTTCAGGTAAACAACACGGATTTATTAGTGCTCTCTATTGACTAGATTTTGTAGAACGCGTTCTGGAAGTTGAAATACACCGATGTCCACATGGCAATCTCTTGGGACCGCATGCATGCGCACCATCACGGACTGTGGGGGAATCATCTTTGGAAAGCAGTCAAGGCTTGTGCGGGTGATCTCGGACGTTTACCATCTGACCAGCTTGATAATCAGTGAGTAGGATGCCCAGTTGTTATCAGAGACACTCATACAGCACTACTAGAATCGATTCAATGCCCCGATGGGCCGGTTTAGGCCACATCAAAAACGCACTCAATGTGGATTTCACTGACGCATCGAAAGAGTACACTTTATCCAAGGTGCTATATTCTTTCCTCACAACGCATCTGTCTCAGTGTGTTGATCTATAAAAATAGGTGATCATTTTCGGAGCACATAATGTACTCGACAGGGAGATGGTGGACACCCACCACATTCCATATGATAAAGGGTATCATTTACTTAATTGTGTCAGGCTTTACCTTAATTTCGACATGTACATGGGCCTCGAACAACATACTCAGGAAACATTAGCCGCAGCACGAGCAGCTCTTCAGGCGTTTGTGGACGCATTAGCAGTAAGTCTCTGTCAATAATCATAGAATAAGAAACTAGCTGACAATGAATAAACGATCCCAGGACTATGTCATTCGCTTCGATAGCAACAAGAACTGGAACTTTCCCAAGAATCATTCAAACCACCATGCAATTCGGGATATCTTAGCAAAGGGTGTTACATCTGTATACAACACCAAGCCCAACGAATCAATGCACCGCTCATTGAGGGAATCGTACAAGTATCGAACAAACTTCAAGGAAATTGCCTTACAGGTATGCACTCATTGCCGCTTCTCATTTCCGGGGTTCTGTGATAACGGATATTCAATGAATAGGTGCTTCGCATAGAGCTATGGCTTTTAGTTCTAGTCATTGTCCGAGAGCACATCACGGCATTTGACAGGGCTTGCGTTGAGTCATCCGCGAAGTCAGAGCCTTCGGATGAAAAGGACACTTTGGTTGATGATCTTGAGTCGAGCCAGACACGCTTCACGCTGGGATCCAAAGCACCTGGATCTGCACAGAGTCTTCAAGATCTTCAGGACACTCATCTCGATGATAGCAGATTCAACAATCTCAGCAGAAAGTTTGAAGACTTTATCAACTCGTACTTTGTCACCCACAACCTTTCCTTTCCGAAAAACGAACGTATCTGTATCACATCGAGTTTCAAGGTTAGTAGTATGATGATTCCCTTGGTGAATTGTGCTGTGCTCGACACTGTACTTATTGTGTACTCATGAAATAGGTTAAAGAACACCGGATGCTTCGTCTTCGATACCAATCCATTGTGGATAATCAGATGCAGGCAGACTTGCTACGTTGTGCACCCGATTTCCATCATCGTGCTCGAAACGACTGCCTTGCGCTGAATGCAGCAAACACAGTCATTTTTGTTCGTCTTTTGCTCATGTTCACGTGCGACATTGGCGACAGACAGTTTTCATTCGCACTGGTTGATCCTTATGATTCACCTATCTTCAACCGCTCTCAGAGGGACCGGGATTTCGGGCTCTGGCGGGTTCGTGGTTCAGAGCCACCAACATCACGTTTCATCGCATTTGATGACATGATTCGAGGGGCAGCTTTAGTTAAAGATTTCGAGGGGACGGGGGACCATTTTGTATTGGACACCGTCGATTCTGACTGGTTTTTACGAGTTCAAACCTTCTGGTCTAGAGTTAATACGAATACCTCAGCTTCATGAGGGATAATTACGCGTACACCGTAGCACTTGCAGTTGAATACACGTTTGGAATTAGGGGTTATTTGCACTGTTTGGCGACTGAAGCAATCGTAAACACCAACCACCTCCGAGTCCAGCTGCCACTGACACTCCAGCGATTCTTCACCGAAGAGGCCGGTCCCACACCCCACCTCTTAGCGCTACCACCAGCGCGCTTAAGGCGAGCGCGTTCTCCCTCTCGAATAAACCCACCGCCAGCCTTCGCCTTGCTCCTCTTCCAATCCCAGCATAGCCCACCACCGTGTCCCTCTTTCTTTCGCGCACATAGCAGACAACACGCCGATTGCACGCCGAAGTCTGGAGGGAGAAAAACAGGGTGAGTCATTCGGTGTGAACTTTCACGCAGGAGCTTGCAGGCTGAGGGCGTCTCCTTCCAATAGATTTACATCTTCAATGGGAACCTTCAAGACGAGCGACCTTGAGAGCGTCGACTCGGGGCGGGGAGTGATGGCGAGCACTGTATGGCCATCCACTCTGTGCAAGGTGGACTATCCATCAGTGCTTACCCATCCACCCCGCTCTGCTCTGCTCACCTCACAACTCGCCCCACCTGAAGCACCCGCGTGCCCCCCAAACCCTCGGTTTCCCTCTGCCGGATCAACACTCGCCTGCTTCCCTCCAGCGCGCGCGGCGACCCTACTCCCTCAAGATACACTCGCGCCACGTGCGGCATGCAATGGCGAGCGCTGTGCGGACATCCACTCTGTGCAAGGTGGACTCTCCGTCAGCGCTTCGCCGTTGTTCCCGTCCGCGTGACGCTGGTGTTGTGCTCGTTCTACGACGATGGTGCCCGTGCCGGCCGTGCGCGCGACCACCGCTTAACACTTTGGGGCTGAAGACTCGGGTGGCCATGGCGGCCATATCGCGCGAGACGAGTGTCAAGTGCATGTGCTCGCTCGGCGAGATGTAGGCGAGTGCATACGCCTCCCGTCGTGGGCAGTGTAGGCATTCCCCCTTCCTCTATGTCTGCATCTGCTGCGACGCCGGAGGCTGTGATCGCGGCTCTGGCGCGCAGCGGCACGTCCGCCGAGGATTTGGAAAAGGGACGAGACAGGGAGGCCGAGGACGCGGCGGTGTTTCTGAAGAAAGTATGTTGACGTCTGGCACGACGGCGCGTACGACCTCGTCACTCGGTACGCGACGCTCTTTCTCGAGCTACACGACCGACAACCTCCTCAGCCCCTCCCGCTCTCTCAGCACCATCCTCGCCACCCTCCCCACGTCCTCGCAAACAACGGCGTACCCCACCCCATCTACCCGGCTCCTCGCCAGATCGCATCCATCCCCGCCCCCGCTTTCCTCGCTGCTCTACCCGGATTCGGACTCGGGCCCAGACTCACCACACGCCCTGCCACCGATCCTCGTGCGCTTCCCGCCCATCATCGCACACCTCAACACGCACCTCACTGCGTTCAACCGCCTGCGCACGAGGCGCTCCCCCGCGACTTGGGCATTGCGGAGTCCACGCTGCACCATGCGGGCGAGGAGCTGCTCGGGCACGTGTCTGTGCCCCTCAGAAGCAGTCTTCCCATGGTTACGAGTATGGCGATCCTGTCCTCGACAGCACGTCATCAGATCTTGCCGAGCTTCGGTCGGAACTCTGCGAGACGCAGTCCTCCCTCGCCAGTTACGTCACCAAAGTCCGTGCGCTCGAGAACGTCCTCGCAGAGCACGAAGCCACTAAGACCGAGATGTCATCCCTCCGCGATCTCATGGAGGAGCGGAAACGGGACATGGTTACGAAACAGGAGGACGAGCAAGAGGAGCACGACGAGGAAGACTTTGACGACGCCGCAAGCATATCCACCATCATTCCGCACGAGCTCGAGCGCGTCGAGGAGGAGGACGAGGAAGGTGCCAGCGGCGCGCACGAGGTAGAGGAGACGGATGAGGACCGTAGGCGACGACGAGAGGAGCTTGGTCGCCCTCGCACGCCGGAACCTGGTAGTCTCGGGATGCTGTCAGAGGACTCGTCAGCATCCGGCGAGACTCGCCGACAGTCGAACACGGGTCCCTCGTCGAAGGCCATCGACGATCTCATGGAGCGCCTGATGGCCCTGTCGACGAAGCTTGAGAGCGCCATCGAGGTCAACTCGGAGCTCCGGGCTCAGCACGCCAGCGCGCAGACCACCATCCAGCAACTCGAGAGCAAGGTCGGCAGCCTCGAGGCGCTCGTCATCAACACTCAAGAACGGGTGCGGGTACAAGAGGAAGAGCGCGAACGTGAGCGCGAGGCAGCTGCCAAGGCTCCCCCTCCCGAACCCGAGCCGAAGGAGGAGAGCGAGCGCGAGTCGCTCACTGCGCCGCTCATCTCCGAGTGGAAGAAGACTGTTGAAGGCCAGTGGAGCACGGTGCGCGATGAGTGGACTGCCGAACGCGATCGCCTGGCCAAGGCCCGTGACGAGTGGGAGGGCAAGATTAGGACGCTCGAGAGTGGGCTCGAATCGCGCATCTCCTCATCAATCGCAACCCAGGTTTCGACTCAGCTGCAGAACGGCCATTTTTCACCCAACGGCGACATCAAGATCGGCCTGAACGGGACCCACGGTGGTGGTCTCGTCACTCCCCCTAGTCCGGTCAGCGTCGCGAGCAATGGTCCACGCGGCAAGGGCCGGAAACGCCGTGGTCATGCAGGTGGGACCGGATCGCGCTCGACGTCGCAGTCGCCAGCAAGATCGCTCTCGCCTGTCTCCCCCATGGACCTCGGGAACGAGCCGACGCTCAGCATAAATGTCGAGGGCTTCGCCGGCAAGAAGGGTCTTCGTAGACGACGAGGCTCCCGCTCACGGTCAAGGTCGCGCTCGGTGTCGGTCGATCGGCGAGAACGAGAACGACGATAGCGAGGCGGAGATGGGTATCGGCCCGATAGACTCAAACCCGAAGATGCGGTATCCGTTCACGCCTGATCCCAGCATCGGCGGCGGCTCGTCCTCATCTGGGTCGGCGGCGCCGATGGAGAAGGACGAGCTCGAGCTCGAAGACTCGACGACGTCAAGTGCGGTCGTCGAGGCTGGCCGGGAGAGTTACGTCTCCAACGGGGTGAGTTCTTTGTTATCTCATGATGTGCGAAGTGCTTACGCGCTGGCCTTGCAGCAAATACGAACGGCGATGAGTCGTTTCGTCGTCGGCGTCGCGACAGCCGTCATGCTATGGCGCGTCAAACCGGACTCGCTTAATTAGTGTTCCAGCGCGATGCGCGATACCTCCCATGTTCAGTCTTCTATCTCTCTCTTCAGCATCTTTCGTTCGACACTTGGCGAGGGGTTGAGACCCTCGATAATTCAGCACATCAGTAATCGCGGCTCGGACTTCGGCATGCACTCTCTATGGTCCAGCATCCAGTAGCCTCCACTCACCATCTTCCATGGGTTCCTTATTCTCGTCTCCGCCCGCGGCGCACGCAACGCTCATTCACCCGCTCTCGCTCATCTCCCTCCGCCGCGTGCGAAGCTTGAGAGTGCTCTCGAGGACGCGCCCAACTCTGCTAATCTGTGCTGCTTGCATCCACCTTCCTCGTCGTCCTCTCCAGCATCTCTCGTTCTGCGAACACTCCCTCTCCCTGCCGCAGGCATGGACGCTCGTGCAGCCTGAGTCGCAGCAGCTGCTCGCGATCTGCCTCAAGAAACTCAAGGGGTTCCACAAGGTCCGGCTCACGGACATGCACTTTATCTGGACGGAGCCGCGCTCGAAGCGACTTAAGGTGTCGCCCATGGTTCAGAAGGCGGTGCGTCTACATTGATGTTCACAACGTTATGAGGCTGGGCAATGATGACGCTGACACTGCCTACCTCTGCTCGCAGGTGCTCACAAACACGGTCATGAAGTAGGTCTTCAAGGTCGAGTACCTCATGCAGCACGGGCAATGTCCCGACTGCGTGCGGCTCATGGCGAGGAACACGGAGAAGGCGATTGCATAGGTCCGACAAAAAGTCTCGCATAAGCGCACATTCCCGTTCCTCGAGCAGCTTATCCTCAAACATAGCGCGCAGAAAGAAACGATCTCGGTGTGTTGTCGTCCATCGTAGATTGCGAGCGAGTTGGCTCAAGGATGTACTGGCGATCATAGGTCAAAGAGCACAGAGCAACTCCTCTCGACAGACTCACGCTCGGACACGGCCAACTACAAGTTCGCCTACTCAGTCGAGATCGCGCCGATATGCGAGAACAATCTCATCTGCATCCCACCCAAACAGGCAAAACAGCTCAGCAACATGTCCCCGCTCACGATCTGCACGCACATCAGCACCTCGCTCCAGCTCACGGACCTAGCCACGTTGCAGAACATCAAGGTCACCGCGGTGGTGTACTGGTGCTCATTGCTGTCTTCACCCTACTCTCAATACAAATAATACCCGATCCCCTGCGTCTGATATGAGTACCAGTCTGATAGAAATGAAGGCGGTGACAAGATACCCGTTCATCTCTAACTCGAGTTTCCGTGAGTCAACCTCGTGTGTGCATTCATAATTCGTCGCCTGCACGGTTTGAGGAAACGTTCTCTCCGCCAAGAGCACGGTGTTCGGCTCTTTGTTCCGCAATGCCAACGTTTTTGGCGAAGGCTCAGTCGTCCTGTTGATGAAGCAGCTGATGATTGACGTTAGAGGCTGGTCATACAGGGACACACTTCGGACCGGCCAAAAAATGCTGTCGACCTCATGGTGATAACCACTCGGATACCTGGCCCGACAAGTTGACACATGTAAATACGATGGAGGTATCCAGCATCCAACAATGAGCCCGTCGAGGCTGTACTTCGGAATGCGGCCCATCTTGCCACAATGGTATTCAAAACTTCCAAAAGTAGGTGCGCTTGAGCAAAATACCTAATGTTATGCAGGGATTGAGACTCGTTTCAAGGGTGCTTGTAGACGCACCATAGACTAGATGTCACCCGCATAACTGCACAGCACTTTTACTTTGAAGAACATTCCGCATTCACAGTTCTTATAAATACTCACACCAGTTCGTTCCCCACCTCGTCAGCAGTCTCTCTCTCTCTCTTTGCACTCTCTAATGCAGCGCATGCAGCATCATCATGCCAGCGAGGTCGAGGACTTCACTCGCGAGCTAAACGCTCAGCATGACTTCGACAATAGTGACTCTGGCTCAGACAGTGATGCGAGCATCAAGGATCTCCAGGCGCCAGGGTCTGGTGCAACTACAGAAGAATATGCTGCGGTTCGTGCATAACTTCTCAATTTTGTGTAGTATCCACTGACTGACTCTTATATCAGGTACTCGAGAAAACTCAGCTTGCTCTTTACAAGTACCGGGACAGGTCACGACATTTGGAGAGAGCGGCCTTGACGCCAGCATGTTCTGAGTCGTCTACACCTGTTACTAGCACAAGCTCGGGTTCTGTGGTAAAACGACCTGTGCGGGAGACAGGGCTGATCGCTCGAAAGCATGCAGTGATGGCTGACATGCGCGAGGTTCCTCGGGATTTCTTCACCTGTCCAACACCTACCACTTTGAAGCCCTTGGACCTTGTGACACCGGCACGTTTCCTCCATGGAGACGACGATCGTGTCTTAGCCCTCCATCTCTCAGTTCCGGCTCAAAATCATGAGGAGATGCGAGGGACTGCTCAATTCGCTAGAGATGTATGTAGACGCTTCGTGTCTCACGTTCTACTCTCATTGCCTTTCTCAGTTCGATCAGGGCATGCGAAATGGCCGCGGCCACTTGATCCACTCGTTCCGCGACCATGGTGATCTTATCTACGACATGCCAAATCATGTATTCAAGTTGGACTCTGGTCACGAGCGCGATAAGGACACCAAATTACAGCAGCTACTCGGTGCTAAAGCAACTGCTAAGGGAAAGGTCGAGTATGAACTTATCCCTCCACTCCTGTACAGGGACTTTGACTCGAAAAATCCCCGTAATGTATTTGGGAGTGACGTGGTTTTCAAGGTACTACCAATTCAGTAATACAAGTGCTTGCTTCGCTGATCTCATTGGTGACAGGCCCTTAAAGCCATCTTTCGCGGACCTAAAGCAATCCGTACTGGGAATTCCCAGGCTATAGAGCCATTCCGTTGCAGCAATCGCCTACAGCTGTAGGTCAGTGAGTGTTGCATTAACCACTACAGCAGGTATGTGTTGCAACGTTTGCTAGCGCTGATGTATCTGTAGGAGATGTTGCAACGGTCCGGGTGATTAATCAACTTCGGGCTTCAAACGTTGCAACGCACGGGCGATCAAACTTCGGGCTTCAAACATTGCAACGCACGGGCGATCAAACTTCTATCAAACGCTGCAACAGGTGAATACTTAGAGTCCTGTTGCAACGCTGACGTCTGTAGCCAATCTGTAGCCACTGGCATTGAGTTGCCCGGCGCCCAATAAACGCTTCCCGCGGTGAACCATCACTCTATGTTGTTGCAACGCCGGATCTGATGGAGGCGACTTCTCATTGGCTCAAGCTGGTCGTCGATGTTGCAACGCAGATATCGATACCGTTGGGCGGCGTGATCTAAATTGGTACGTTTCTCGGGATGTATGATATAAAGCGAGTGTGATCCATATCTGTCCACGGCACCCTCCACTAACGAACACTTCTCCGATCGTGCGGGGGTCGACGCCGCCGCCGCCCGGAAGCAGACCAAGGACATACGATTTACAGTGCGTTCTCTTTTTTCCCGGCACCTTGCCCTCCAAGCAACTGATCCTCATCGGTGCAGCTGCGACGCGTGTACTTGTTACAATATCTGCGGGCGTCCTCCGAGTCACACCAACCAGTGTCAGTCGCTAGTTTAGGTCCGGAACCAGGGTACGCAATGTCTTGTTGCAACACACCGTTTTTTTGGAAACTCTAACAAGGTTTGTTTAGCTCATGTTCTGGAACGTTTATGGACTGCTTAAGCGTTGAGTGTTGCTCGTTATCGCCGTCTTCCCCTTCCGTCCGAATTGCGGCGCCGCTTCTAGGGCTATTATCCTCCCATCTGTTCCTCCCTCTCATCCTTATATTCCGACTCTTCGTTGCGCTGGTGCCTCTTTCTGTCTCCTTTGGCTGTCACCCTCTGCGTATTTGCTCCCTACGTCTGCATCATGCCCTTCGTATCATGGTCCAGTATGTTGATCTTGTTTGCTTTGACGAGGTTCCCTCAGGCTATAGAGCCATTCCGCTGTGGCAAACCACTATAGCTGTAGGTCGATGCATGTTGCAATAACAGCTACAGCAGGTATGTGTTGCAACAGATGGTATTGCTGAATCGAGCAAGTTTTCCGCTCATGCCACCTCATCCCGTGGTGTACAAGTGAAGCGTCCATCTCCTGGACACGGGAAAACGCGCTCGATAAGTGTGAAAGTTTCCTTTATAATCACTACATTGACCTTGACGCGTTCGAACGTGTACGTCAAGCTCGCAACTAGTTTGTATATACCATAGTGCTCAATACATCTACTGCCCGTTTTTGGAGGTGGACCAATGTTCGCTGGACATTTTCACTCGGATACCTTGACATAGCTAATATCAGAATATAATGTGAATCACCACGCCGACCACCTTCGAGGCTGTGAGTCGGTCGGTGGTACTTTATATATTAATACTGTAGGGATACTAGCAATAATCGATAATTGCGCGTGCCTTTGTTTGTCTTCGCTTGGGCACGACTTTTAAACTCCGCCAATATGACGGCGCGCGTCGCGCGTCGCTCTCTTCTTCATCCACTACATCTACCACATTACTTCCGGAGGTGGGCGCAGGGGCCCCGATCCGCCAACACACGCACCGGGGTATTCGCAACTCCCGGGCTCTGCGCCTCTCAGGACTCCCTTCGCCGCTCGCGGTCGGTTCTGTGGACATGCACTCTGGTCAAGGTGTTTTCTCCACAAATCGGCCGCGAGCACCAGGCAAGGTTGCCTGCAGCTTGGCCAGGGCAAAATTACCTATACGGCATAAAATGCCGAATGCCCACGCAGTACGCACATGCACGCATGCAAATGTGCACGCACGCGTGCCACCTTGAATATAAACTGTTAATAGCATGTACAGTACTGCAGATAGTGTAACAAATGGATTGCTTGGCTCCCTTTTTAGTATGCTACAGTTGGTGTGCTGCTTGAGTGCTAATGACGTTTCAGCTCTGAAATGAGCAGACGCGTCGATGAGTGTGACGCTGAACGCGAATCCATTCGGCGTCAATTGGGCCCGTTTACCTCGGTGTTCATTCATTTGCAACATTTCATAGTCCGACATGTGGCTATTCTACACTCAAATGCACATTTGCTTTCACGCTAGAATATAGCTCTGGCCATGTAACCATCAAATAAATAATCATATTACCGAACAAGGATGTCACGGATGCGTCAAAACCTCGTACAGCTGAGGGAAAAGCTACCGGATAAGAAATTTACCTAAGTGAACATGACCCGCTTCTCCCGCACACTTCACGGTTGTATATTCTCCTTTCCGGGAGCTCGGATACAAGGACCTCCTATTTCATTGTCAGCGGCCTTCGGGTTGTACTTGACATGCGTTCGGTTCGACATGCGCCTCGACATTTCGAGGGTAGTCGCCTGCATAGCTGATTGCGGAAGCGCGGAGTAGGACATTGGCAAGGGAGTAGTAGAGACAAGCACCGGAGAGGGATGAGGAGACGGACAATGCCACGATGCCGGAGACTGGATTGGTGTGTGAGAGAATGACGGCACTTGAATTGTTTGATGAGAAGGCCAGTGTGCTTGAAGCGTAGCGTGAGATGGTGACGACATTTGATTCGTCTGAGGCGCTGGCGATGCTTGAGTTGCATACAGGCTGGGCACTGTCTGGAATGACGGCGACATCGCACACGCCTCAGTCCTCCCTGGGACATGAGGAGGTCCGGGATCTTGAGGAAGGAAGGCAGACCCCGGCATTGACAGATGGAGCAGTGCCGGAAAGTCGAAATCCGGCGAAATATCCGGCTGGGAATACAACGGGGGCTGCAAAGGTTGAGCGGTGGCCAGGTCGATGGGCATGTTCATGTCGAATTGGAAGTTTGCCTGACACGAGGCCTCAGATGGTTCTGTGTGACCATACTGGTGGAACTGGTCCTCGGTAGATCCCAAGTGTGAAAGCACCTGCTGCACTTGGAGGTCGTCGAGCCAGGAGTAGTCGCCAACATCGAAGAAACTGGGGTCGAAGTGCATAGGTGCTGCATTTTGGCCATCACTACTATCGGACGTATTGCCAAGGGACAAGTCATGCTCGTTGTTCTGACATATTGCGGCAATACCTGTAGATGCAGAGTGAGCTACTGACACTGTTAAACACTGATATAGCTACCACTTACCCATGTCGATGGAGTCTTTGCCTTGAAGTGTGTCAAGGGCATGTACATTACTACCGCTACGGCTCAAGGTATCGCTTGTTGCATCTACGAGGGAATGTGATGACGTCAATGGCGGCCTGCATCACATTAAGCTTCCTTACCTTGATGACCCGGTTCGTCTGTTGCCATGGCTAAAGGGGACATCGTCAATCTACTATTACCGAGCAGTGCAACACAGGTCGCACCGTCTTGGTCAGCAGATGTAGCTGCTACAGTGTGACATCAGAGAAGGCGCCAGATATGTATGAACGTTGAAATACTCACCGGCCTCTAGAGTATGCAAACCAGCGATGGCCATAGTAATGTCGTCTGCCTTGTCTTCATTCGGCAGCAACACTTCAGCAGCGGTGGCCCCTTCATCATTGGCACCCGGGCTCTCGTGTGTCCCCTCGCCTTTCTTTCCTTGCACAGAGATTTCGACGGGCCTTCCAGCTGCGTGGCGTTGTAAGAACAGGGAGACTCAAGATGTGCTATGAACTCACGAGCATTAGCAAAGGCGGCAAACTCCTCGGTGCAGCGCTTCCAGCTCTGCGAGACCTGACCGAAGTCAAGTCCAGATTGGTTCAGCCCGACGTGAATGCTTATAATTGACAATGAGTTACAACCGTTTCAGTAATGATGTAGTGACTTACGATCCGGCACACATCTTTCCCGTGAGTGGGTCTCTGCCTACGACCATTGTCGCAAAACGAAAGCCATCGATTGATTTTCCACCAATGGTTTGGGTGGAGGCGTACTCGTGGATTTCGGTTATGGTCGGCATAAGCGTCATCGTGACACTAGTGAAGGCAAGTTGACGTCAGCATACAAGTAGAAAAGGCATGATACAATAGACCTACGCTCTAGCAGCAAGTGCGTTTAGCTTGGGGTCGTTGCTGGCCGGTGTAGGGCCGGCGAGGACAACCTTCTGCTGATCCTTCTTTTCCTCGATCTCGTCGCGAACTGACTGGGGGCCATCACGGAGCTTGCGCTGCGCAACAGAGCGGACCGCATCCAGGATTTGGCCACCCGTTGGCGTCCCCTCAATCGCGCCGAGAATGATGTTGACCTCGGGTCCAACTTCCGTGTCGTAGTAAAGCTTACAGAACCACTCCCAGTTCTTGTTGCACCGGCTGTTCGAACCAAGTATCCTGTCTAGCATGGTGGCCGACCTCCCACTGATAGACCGAGTGCGGGTAATCCCGTTCCTGAAGGCCCATCGCATGGCCGCGTTCGTTTTCTAACCAAGTAAACAGAGGGTTCGTCAATGTCAATGCCATGAGTAGGTGGGGGAGATGATGGACGTACCACGTTACGAAACTGGATTCCTCTTTCGACGGCATCCCGTTGGAACTCCGTAAGCTCCGCATTCTCGAGTAGCTCAGGGAAGAGGAACTTGAGTTCAGGCCATCTGTGGTACCACTTGGACTGGAAATCAGGCCAAAATAGCGCAAAGTCCTTCTTCTCCGAGTACTCGCCGTACAAGGGCAGCTGGGAGACCATGAACTCGCGCTGGTCCTCAGTCCAGATACCCCATGTGCCTTCCTCTTCGTCCATGTCGAGCTTGGCATTGACGTGGGTGCATCAAACATAGCTTTCGACGGCCTTGAAGAATGTAAGTGAGTGTTACAGAAAGAAAGAAAGAACACGCTATTGGCTTACCCGGGAGAACTTCTTGACCTTTTTACGAGGCGCTGACGGTACGCTTGGATTCTTCGGGGCCTTCGGAGCCTTCGGCATAACGACGAGGGGAGTATAACGAAGTAGACGTAGAAAAACAAAAACACTGGACGCAGGGATGATACGAAGATGATTCTTGCAGTTGCTGGGGCGAAAGCTTCGCTCTTTTAATGGTTTTCAGCACTTGTTATTCAAAGCAAAGGTCGTACGCGCCAAGCGTTGTTCAAACCCTTGGCTAGCGGTGGAGGTCAGGGCTAGAATATGTGAAACACAAACCTTAGAGTGTGATATGGAGAAGACCGAATATCATGGAATATACGATACCTGATCGCCGCTGCCTGAAATGAGCAAACGTAACTTCGGTAGTTGACTGTTGAAGTAGCCAATAATCAAGTAATTCTGATGTTCAGACCACGTCGGTACATCATATGCTAGGCTATAATCAATCTGAATCGCTGATGGTTAGTTCTCGTCCTACGCCTGATGAACATACAGTCAACTAGAATGAAAGCACGTATCAAGGATGCTCCGAGGAAGCCTCTGGACCGCGTTATGGCTTGTCGCCGGAACGAGTTCCAACGGTAGGTCCTGCAGGTATTGTCAAGGAGATTATGCCGCTGAGGGCGGGATACAATGCTACGAAGACTTCTTCAGAGCGTCGGTCGATCGGTTTCAGGTAGTCACCCTGCATGAACGTGTGAAGTTATTAGACCTTGTTCTGGCAGAATCTATGATCAGCTAGCCCGACGCTCAGATTGAAGAGCCGGATTGTCGCACCGTAATGCAGGTGGTATGATGGTGGCACAGAATGAAGAGGAGCATATGGGCAGAGCGAGCGGGGCACCTGGCATATTACAACCTAACACTGGGTGTTAGTATGTGGGAGGGTTGTTATGGCGAGATGCAAGGAAGTGTATTCCAACCGCGACGGGCACAAGGTGCTTGAACGCAGCCGCAAGCTTGTCGTAGTAGTCCATGGCCGTCTGCATCGTGAAGTTGTTGAGCTCGTGCGTGAGTATGATCGTGCCCTGGCAGCTAAACGTGCCATTCTGCGCCTGTGCGTCTGGTCCGTGTACCCGCTTCCCAGTCGAACGAGTTGGACTGCCAGACAATGGTGGACAGGTTGAGCGCGTTGGCAATCGTGTGCACGCGGTCGTCGACGTCGCCGTACGGGGGCTGTTATTTTGGTGGAAGATAGGGTTCGGGCTTGCGTAGTCGCGACTGGCTACTCCACGAGTATTCCACGTGGGCTCGGCTCATCGGGCCTGGTCAAGGGTGCTCGATTGAGTACCTAAACAGTTCCTCGATCGAGTCCTCAGGCCTCAAGGCCTCACGTCCCTATAGTAGTCAACCCGATTTTTGTGAGAGTAGGTCGATACATTACAGGTAAGCTGGCTACTAACCACCTCGAATCCACTAGCGTAGTCGAGACCAACTAGGTCTTATTGATTGCAGTCACGACGTAGTGTCTCCGGCCCGAGGAAACGACCTCTTCGATATCTGATATAAGTCCAGATAGACTAGTAGACGCCAGGAACGCCGGAGATTGGGGGAAGCGCGTCTCGTCCCTCGAGCGCTGCAGCGTCCAAGTTTGGATGGCAGTACTCCCGGTCCCGGTCGCCCCTTCCACCGCTGGAGAGGGAGCATCTGGATAGCGTCAGTGCGAGTAACAGTGACAGTCCGACGCCGTCTACTTCTTCTGTCAAGAAGGGCAATCTGTCGATGATGACGGCCGCGACGCCTGCGGGGAGCCCGCAGCGCGTGCGGAGTTCGCCGTCGCCGGCGGGTGCGAGGAGGGTGGTTAATGGGAAGGGGAGTATGATTCCTGTTCTGCTGCATTTCAGGACGCAGGCAACGCGGGAGAACGGGCAGTTGGGTGATGCTCAGGCACGGCAGAAGCAGAAGCAGGCGGCGACTGCGGCGCAGGACGAAGAAGATAGCCTGTTTGAAGAGGGCGAGGGTGAAGAGGAGTGGTCGATGGATTCGGGGATGGAGTCGATGGATATGGATCTTACGGGTGTCGGGCAGCATGTGCCGCCGCCGAGGATCAATCTGACGACGGACGAGGGGCACGAGGAGGATGTGCTGCGTGGTGAGTCATATTTTGGATGATAACAGAACGGACTGCTGATGCTCTGTGTAAGCCTCCGATGAAGAGTCGGCCGAGCGCGACTTGTGCTCCGACTCTGAATCTGAGGTGGAAGCTGAAACTGAGCCAGAGCCCAAATCTGAGCCTGAACCAGAGCCCGCCGAGGACGAAGACGGTTTCCTGACAGAGTCGGAGATAGCGCTGCCTGCGTCTCTGCCCGAGTCCCCGCCATCGCGCAGAGTTTCCGCTTCACCCGAAGACAGACAGGTCTCGGACGAGGCTAGGCTGCAGTGAGCCATCGGCGGTGGCTCTGCTAATGCCCATGTCCATGATAATATTGCGACATCCAGAACTAAAACCCGAACTCCGCCTCTTTCTTCATCGTCTCCTCCGCCTCCAGCTTTACCTCAAACTCGCACTCAAACGCAAACTCACTTGGATACCCCACCGTTCGAAGCGGTCCCTCTTTCCATCCCCTCCATGAATCGGTCGGTGGTGCGTGCATATTTGATTCGCCTCATGCTCATATGCGGGTTGCGTAAATTTGCCTTTCCTCGTAACCACTGGCAGGCTATTGAAAATGATCCTCAGTAAGACGCATGAACTTAGGTTTTGCAACATGTGAGATAAAGATGGTCACCAGCCGCTTGCTGCTTTATCCTCCATTATCAGATCTTGAGCATTCTTCAGATGCTCGTACTCGGTAATATCTTTGGTGGACTTTGTTTGATACCTGAAGCCTCAGGCTGTAAGTGAATTCAAGGTTATAATCCAATGTTTTATTACAAAGCCGGAATGTTAATATGATCCTTCCTGGCTGAGATCTACTCGGCCCTCGTTCACATCTGTATCCCTTTCAAATGCCACAGTGCCATTGCACTTCTTTTGCTGATGCGCAAAGGAGGTGCACAACGTCGTTTTGTTTCACTGTACACAGTAACATCAAGACACGGTAACTCTCGCGTTGGCTCAAAGTAAAAGTCCTGGGCCAAATATACAACACTATCCACTGCAGCGTGTACATTGAGCCCATGTAGTAATATAGATCATGTCACTAAGTATACTACAGCTTGCTACATGAGTATAATACTTATGATGTGATGCTTGAGCCGTGTCTTGTTGATATTACCCATCAGACTGTCTATAACTAATCGTACTTTGCTAAGCTGACCCACTAAGATATCATCACTAGAATCCGTGAGGCATTATCTGACATTGTAGCTACAGCATTAGGACGTTGTTAATTTATACTGTACATATGATATGATATCAGCAACATGTTCAAACGGTGTTCAGCAGAGTGAAAATCTAGGGATCATAGAATTGATGATCGCTTGAAAGACTGATTCAAACACAACAATCTAAACCTTCTGTCTTATTTATCTATAGATCGTGTTCAGAACCCAGACGCGAAAGGCAAAAGTCTCTTATATTCATCTATAGATCGCATTCAGAACTAACTAAGAGTCAGTACACGCTATGAGACTACGAAAAGGAAGAAAGAACTAACCCCAGACGTGAAAGGCAAAAGTCTGGGGTGCTGAGACAACAAACTACTGGTATAAGTAACCCATCAAAGCGAAATAGGAAATGTGAAAGAAACACCAGGGCGCCAGTGAATGCGAAGCCAAAATAGTAAGGTACGGGTAATGACGAACGTGTACAAACGCGTACAAGTGCTGACAAACATTTCAGCCAACGTCTCCGTGCAGGTTGCCGTTCCAACACTTCGATCTGGCAGGGGCGTAACTGCGAGCCATTGCTCACAGTAGTGGGGCCTCAAGGTCTGCCTGGAGATGGTAGAGGTTGATGGATGAAGCAGTAGTCGGGACTCAAACGGTGTTGACGTGCAACGTGAGCTGGCGCGAGAGGTGGCAGAACGCAAGGAGCGATGCAGACGCTTGACGCGTGAGAGCGGCGGTCCGACAGCCGAGAAGTTCGCAAGGCTTGGTGCGATTGCGATGCGCCAAGCACAGCCTCCCTATGCCATTCGAGTTCTCGCGCGACTCGCAAGGATCGGCCGGTTTTGCTGATGGTGGACTGTGGTGGCAGAGCGCAACAGCAAGCACAAGAGCGTGTTGGCGAGAGCATGAGATGATGAGAATGTGTGGGCGACAGCGATAGCAAGGGATAGCTGAGAAGGACCAAGTACCATAAGCTCCACCTTTGGTCGAGTAAATTTAGCGGATGACCAGACTCAAATATATTCAGAGTGGGAATTGTGTCATTACAAGGAATAAATATCGTGTATAGTTTGAGTCACATGTAGCAAAGGACGAGCTCGAGTAAAGACAAAAAACCAGCAACGGAAAACATCACACCAAGACTTGGGACCGTTCAGCAACACGAAAATGCGAAGGGAAGGGAAAAAGAAAGGAACAGTGTCAGTGCAAGACTTGGAGCCGGCCATCCTCTACCGCGCTCTTAACAGAGTCCACAGCTGTGACCCAGTCATCCACGCGGAAGTGAATGTTACCCTTAACGCGAGTGACATATTCCGATGCCCTTCCCCTGTGCACATGTTCGTGAGTAGAAATCAAAAACTGAGTGTAGAAGCCTTACCAGTCGCAGAAAATCCCAACGCGAGTCCCTTTGATCACAGTGTGATAAGGTTCTGCTGTACCGACATTTGGCACCCAGAACGTTGCACCAAGGTAGACGACTTGGTGATGACCCGCCATTGACGGGCCCTCAACTGGTGCTAGCTCAATGTTAGCACGAAGGCTTGATGATCTAGTGCATGCTCACCAAGAGGGAACGTCGGCGGCGCAGCTCGCGCGTAGCTCAGCGGAACGTGTTGAGCCGGCGGAACAGCAGGGCGCGAAGAAATCGCAGGAGCAGGTGGGGTATCTTGAATCGAAGGCAGTCGCCGTGAGTGACGTTCTTGTGACAGCAATAATGTACTTGCTTACTGGATCCAGGATGAATTGTACGTTCATCGCGCATGCGGCGAGGCGCAGGGGTATGAGGGATGTCCTGCCAGTGAACCGCCTCTGCGTCAGCATGAGACGCCGATCTAGCAGAAGGAGATGACATGGGGCGGTGGGTATAAGTGATCTCTTGGACAGCTGAGAGGAATGGAGAAACAGGCGCCGAATCCGGCACAGCTCGGTCTGGGACCGTAAAAACAGGCGACGAGGATCTAGAAGACGTGGTTGAGATGGAGATGCAGGAGACGCTCTCGTCGGCTTCGTTGTTCAGATATCCTGTATTGCAGTACGCGAGAATGATTCAGAATAAGCGGAAGAATGATAAGTGTAAATAATGACGTACCCTCCAGAGTATTGTCGGTGCCAGCATCAGGGAGCGAAGATGGAGAGGCGGCAGTGGTGTGCGACGACAAAACCCTATCACCTCCACCATCGAGACGAACGCTGCCCGGCTGTATCCCGAGAAGTACGTGACCAAGTTGATGTTGTTCTGCTTCCGTGATTCGGAGCAATTGCAGCATCTGGAGGGCATCTGAAGATGAAGGATAGCGTCAGTTTAGAGTAACATTGATACAGAGTGGCGGAATCACCTTCAATCCGGCTCCTCGCCGCAGCAGCATCGGGAAAGCCAGGTGTTGCGGAGACGGTGGGAGGCGAGTGGAGGTGCATCAATAGGTGACGGGAGAGATGAAGAGGGAGGTCTGGTTGAAAAGCGACTAACACTCAGCTGTTTTATGGCCAAGGAGAAAAGGAGCGTTGCAACACACAAGTAGTCCGTACGTGCCTGGCGCAGCGACCATGGGGTGTTGCAACGCTCAGCGCTCAGTTTTGGATGGGAGTGTTGCACACGGCCCTGAGAACTTTGGCCGTTGCAACACCCTTCGCTCTCGAAAGCCCAAACAGGAAGGACCCCTGTATGCACCAACCGCGAGACGCCGCGTCTCCGCAACTAAGGTTGTACTGTGATGCTTCAGCTCGTATACAGGGCAGCATGTACACAAGAGGTAATTATGTTCTACAAATGTATCACGCCAGACTTGTATTGATACTTACACTTGATTGTCTCGCGAATAGGATTAGGATCTGGGATTCTGGGCTTTCCGCCGCCCTCAGCTCCGCTCTCCGCCGTCTTTAGACAAACAAACTCCGTGGTCAAACTCTCCGCCTGCCTCTCTGTTACTTATGACCAAGGCGTTTTTCTCGCTATTCGTGTCTGGTGCATCACGAGGAAGTTTATGTCTCGGTACGTCTCAATTAACACCTCTTCTACTCTGACTGACCAGCTCGAGTGTAGAAGCTACCTACGATCAAACGGTTGAAAGCATCTTTGCTCGTCTGAGACACCGCTCGGTGATCCCATCGCATTACCTCAAGACTCATTACATCTGCTGGAATGGCCGTATCTTAGATCCCGTTAGGAGACTTAGCGAGTACGGCTTGGGACCCTCTTGTACTCTCCAGGTACGATGCCGCGTTATGGGAGCTGGACAGGATACCGGTATGCACCCTGACAAATCTGAGTAGATGTATGGTACTGACTAGGGTGCTCTAGACGATGAAAAATCCACGGCAATTGCCAACTCTTCGTTGCTACAGATGTTCTCGCGGAGACGTCGGAACCGAACCGGCAGACTGGGATCCACACCGCAAATGACACCAGACGCCAGCTCCTCCTCGCGTTCCACTTTGATACCGTCACTCACCGCCGTTGGTCGTGGATCTGCTGGGATTAGCCTTACCAAGGGCACACTTCACCTCCGTTTAGCCAGTCCTGCGCTGCCAACACCCATGCAGGAAGACACACCGCAGGCGTCGATTCTCGATCACTTGCCAGACGACATTGACTTCGGAACGGGTGATCCAGTCCTTACTACAGAGCCGCCACCTACGCAGCGTCGAACAAGAAAAGTACGGCGTATTTCGTCTATCTCTGAATGCTTTAACTCAATCTTGACCCCGTCCAGTCTCCGCACAAGGACTTCTTCGAGCTACGTCACACGTACCTGCAAGAAATGATACGCCTTGAAGGTCGCGGCACTCACATGTACGATAAGGAGTGTCCTCAATGTAAATCACCAGGTCCTCAGTATCGATGCGTCGACTGTCACGGTGGCATACTTTACTGTGAGGGGTGCATGGTTAAGAAGCATGCTGAGGCTCCTCTTCATCGCATCAAGGTACTTCATGTTTTGTCTCTTTGTATTCTATATCAGGTTTACTGACTATAACACCAGGCTTGGAACGGTACATTCTTTGAGTCAAAAACTCTCAAAGATATGGGACTTCGCGTACAGTTAGGGCATCCGCCTGGCGTCCGCTGCAATAACCCAAAGCAGGCGTACGCCAATGACTTTGTCGTAATTGACATCCACGGTATTCATCAAGTGGGAGTTGATTTTTGCCAATGCGAAACCACCCACAACGACTATCAGCAACTGCTTCGCGCCGAATGGTTCCCTGCGTCAGTCTCTGACCCAAAAACCGCTGCCACCTTCCGAGTACTGGAGAACTTCCATCTCCTTTCGCTAGAGTCAAAATCATCTGCATATGAGTTCTATCGATCCCTCTCTCGGGCGACGGACAATCTTGGCATTTTGGAGAAAAAGGTGCGGAAGCTCATCTGTGTCATTATGGTACGGTGATCTGACATCAGGACATAGGATCGGTATGACAACTTCCTGATTATGGTACGCCAGTGGCGACACCTCAAAATGCTCAAACGAACGGGGAGAGGTCATGTTAGCGAAGGCCTCGATGAGACACCTGAGGGAGCATGTGCCGTTCAGTGCCCAGCGTGCCCTCATCCTGGCAAGAATCTTCCTGACGACTGGGAGTCCGCGCCGCCTCACAAGTCGTAAGTTTTACCTGTCTCATTTCTATCCTGAATGGCACTGATAACATAGTAGATGGCTATATGGACTGTTTGTCGCAATAGATGCCAATTTCCGCCTCAAGAGAAAAGCAGTATCTCGAGAAGAATTGGATCCAAGCTTCGGGGACGGTTGGGCGTACTTTGTCAAAGAACAGCCATTTCAAGACTGGTTGGCGTCGCAGCCTGATCCACCTCACGTCGTATGTCTCTGACGCCCATCAATGTTATGCCTGTTATCTAATATCCCCTTTAGCGTAGCTCTTGTTCGAACCACAAAGCTGTCAACATGGCGAACACCAAGTTCGCTCGCGGACTCGCTGTGACGGGGGTGGGCACGGTCGATTGTGCACGACATAACATGAAGCTTCCCTGTGGCGTTGGGAACTTAATTGCAGGGGAACGGTACGTAACGAATGGTTTCGGCCTTAACAAGATCTCTGACCTACTTACAGGTACAATGTCATGGACTACATACTTTTCTCGACACTCCGATGGGCCCAGCTTCGCGTCTTCAAGATTTCCTATGATATCGGCTGCCAGTGGTTTAAAAATTTGTGGGCCCGAGTAGCGAAGCTGCCTGAATACCTTGCGTTCAGTCCTATTGGCCGGATCTTCCATTTCCTCGTTCCTAAATTCCATCTTCCCGCCCATATTCTCAGCTGTCGCACGCGCTTTTCGTTCAACTTCACCCCAGGCGTCGGTCGGACTGATGGCGAGGCGCCTGAGCGAGGTTGGGCGAATATCAACCCTGTAGCATCCAGCACCAAAGAAATGGGGCCTGGTCACCGAAAAGACACGCTCAACGACTTTTTCGGCGACTGGAATTGGAAGAAGACCACTGGTCTGGGCCTCGAACTCCACCGAAAGTTATCTATTGCCATTGCCAGGCGCGCCGACCATCAGGAAGACTTCATCGATATGGAACGTACTCTCCCTCAGCCTCAACTTACGGTATGGCTCAAGGAGGTGGAGGCTTGGGAGAACGGTCAGACAGAGCCTAACCCGTTCGAGAGCCGCGTACAAAGTAAGTACAAGTCTGCGCATGATGCTGACTACCATGGGCTTACCATCTAATCAGAGCCAACGCAACTTTCAGTCCGCCTTGAGCTTGCCAAGCGGGAAGCCAAGGAACTTGCGAAAGGGTTGCCGACCACACACTCAGAGATCACACGTGGGGTACTCATTGCCGCGGGTATAGACATCGAGGATCTACAACGGCGGCTCCGGGCAGAGCGGCAGAGCGTCGGCCAAAACGCTGTCGACCATCAAGTCAAGGTACAAAATCGCGCCAACGCACTTCAAATCAGGATCGAGAACTGGGCTAAGGCTCAAGTGCTACACATGCCAGCTGTGGTCATGCTGCGTTCTAAGCGGGACTCGTCATCTAAACCGGTGAACCCCGAGTCAATCACTCTGTATCTCCCGTCTCAGCTCCCTCTTACAGCAACATGTGGCCTACAGCTCCGCGAGATTGAATGGGAGCTAAGGGTATCTCAAGCTCACGATGCGCTCGGCAATCTTCGTCAGACATTGCAGTACAGATACTACCTCTATAAGGACAAGGACCGCAATGCACGCGGTCAAGGAGCTAACACTCGCGCGCACAACATAATCGACACAGTCACCTCCAAGATCAAGGCCTATCGCGATGCTTATCGCGATGCCTACGGTGCTCTGTTACGCCTGAAGCCTGTACTTCGCAAGCACGCGCTTCCGTCAGAGCTACGCGTGCTTCGGGATGCAGATGTTAGGGCTATGCCGGAGGAACTTGATGGGGAGACCGAGGGTAAGCGAAGAATTTCTTGGATTTGGCTTGCGTCTCCACTCGACCCGTACGATGAAAACGATCCGGCCCTAATAGACAGTAGGTGGTTAATTACGAGCTCTTGAGTTCTGTCTACTAACCCAACCTATTCAGCCATCCGAGTTGAATGGTGCAAAGCTCGTGCCCGGGCAATGCGCTGGACTGAGGAAGTTGAGCTGCTTGTTGAGGAGATGCGCCGAACTATTGCGTTCCTCAAATGGCAGACAGAGTGGTGGGTTCGTTATGGCGAACGGAGGACGTTGGCAGTGCCAGAAGATGAGGAGGGTAGTAGAGCATATGCCCTCCGACAGGCCAGTAACCGGCGCGCTCTCGCATTAAATTTTACGTCGAAATGGACCGAGTCGCTTTCAATGCTTCAGAGCAAACATTCACATTGCTGATACCGTATAATAAGATACTACTGTACTTTCCAGCCACAACGTTAACAAATGATCGCTTTGAAAAATGAACGTTCGATTCTACGGCAAGCTGACATCCTATGGTGGGGCCTGATCAATACTCAACGTAGGTACCTCGAAGCTTGTTGCAACAGAGGAAAGGAGACGACCATCCGTGTTGCAACAAGGCCAGCGGTCTATAGATTCACCGAGGCGACGGCCGGTAAGACGTGTTGCAACAGCGAGATCCGGCGTTCAGCTGACCAAAGGGGGCGCATTGCAACAGAGTGCTTCGCTCTATCGGTGCGACGGACCCAGTAGACAGCGTTGCAACGCCGGAGAAGACTTTCCACAGAAATGACGTAGGCCAAGCGTTGCAACGCATCGACCAGATGCTATGACCAGAGGGAGTTGCAACGACTCAGTGCCTCCCAGCACTCTCCAGCGAGAAATTCTCCGTCCTCTAGAATTAGCTCATAGTTCCGGTATCTATACGACACTTATGTCTCACAGACTCGGACTTGCCTCAGGTTTACAACATATGATATACCGTGTCCCTTTTGGCCATGACTTCAGCTGTATTCATCTTGGGAAGAGCTAGCACTGGAATGGACATACAGAATATGAACGTGCATAGTTGTATTACTGATTGGATGATGAACCTGATAAGTTAGGAGGTTAGCACAGCCGCATTAATATGGATCCTGTTGCAACGCCTGTAATTTGTGCGTTGCAATGACCAACACCGGACAACTCACACCGGACAGGAAGTAGCTGATGTTGCAACACCTCTGTACTACAGTTAGAGGATAGTTGCAACAGTCTGCCAGGAGGTGGTGGAATTCCGGTGGCAAGAACAACATGAAGGAATGGGGTGTCAAGTCTAACACCGCAGCATCCATAGCAACAGCCAGTGTCCTCGTAAGTAGCCGCTTATTTACCTCATACTATTTGAGTTAATTCACCTACACAGGTGATCTTTGTCGCATCTCCAGACACTGAGTTTCCTCATAACGGTGTTGGAGGCAACACAAAGATTAATTACTACGAACGCTTTGGATACTTCCTCGAGTATCTGACCAATTTCCTTACTAAGAAGCGGGGGAAGGATCTGCTTTCACGTCTCAATATCTACTGTTTCTCTTCCTGCAAGGTTATCCCTCCAATCCAATCTGATACTATAGCTGCTGCTGCTGCTGAACAGCGTGCCGAGCTTGCAAGGGAGATGGCTCGGATGGCATTAACTGCTGACACTAGTGAAGAGGAGACTGAAACCACTGCACAGCAACTCGAAACTACCCCAATACCGACCAACAGTGAGTGCAATAATCAAGCTCGAGACTTTGTTCTTTTTAATCTGTGCTAATGAACTGTCTTAGCTGAAGTTACAGTGTTGGTCAACTCTGCAGCCGCTCTCGGCAATGAAGGTTCAGCTGTGGAAGCTTTACTTCCCAGTGATGCTCCTTCTACTACACCTGTCGAGCTGGTAGTTTCTGCTGCTAAGGCAGCCCCTGTCACTACATTGCCAGAGCCTGCTGTACCGACAGGAGGACCTGGAGGGAGGACCCGGAAGCCGAGAAAGACGGCTGCGGGAAAGAAGCTGCCGAAAACTGGCGTGGTGAACAATTAGAGTATACCGTGCAAACACTGCTTCGTTTGTTCGCTTAGTGAAGCATATAGATTGTCATTTCCGTTTCTTGCCCACCAATAACATGTGTGTTTGCGTCTAATCTGAAACTGGTTTGCCGAAGAAGGTTGAAATTGCGTAACAAAGAAATGCTTATAATTTACTTATGAAATTACTTATGAAGTTACTAGAGTATGTAGCTATATTGATGCGCGTACACAAGTATTATGACGGCTTCGTGGCGAAGCGGTCAAGGATAAAAAAAAACGACAGCGTTGCAACCGTGGTTGCAAGCAGGGGTCGTATGTTCGATCCTGCTGTGAGGCGGGAGTTGCAATTTTTGCTGCCAGCTTGCAAATCGCTTGCCACTGCATGCAACCAATAGGAGTTCGCCGGCTCCCCTGTTCATTCACGCGCTCGCAGCCGGCTTGCAACACGTTGCAATTATGTCAATCGCATTTGCAACTACGTCACAAACCACTAGTCACGCTGACTCTTCTCTTGACACCGGTCACAAGCGGTGATCCGATTCCGCCGGTTACAACGGCTTGTATCGCGTTGTCACACCTTGAAACCCGGATATAACCGATGAACGAGATTTCCGACATAGCCTTCAAGTTGAACCCGCCGACTCCCTAACATCCTGCGCTGGCAATGGCACTAGCTACATCAAGTGAGTAGTAAGACTCGTTACATAAATACTCTGACCAATGAATCGATGCGATGCAGTGAGCGATGATGCCGTTTGGAAGATGCTGTCAGACCACATCCCCGTCAGTGCGTTTAGCATCCGCTCGGCGGGCAAACGGCGTCAGAATCATGATGAGCACCATAAACTCCTAGTCGAAGACATTATGAAACGACTAAACGACAAACATCGCAGCGTCATCTGGCTTTATACCGATACTAGCAAAATGGCAACCCCTCCGACGGATACGCTCTCCACAACATCAGTCGCCCTCTCCGTGACCACGGAGCTCTACAAGGAGAAACGCGTAGGCGGGAGATTCGTCTGTTCGCCACAGCATCCCAAACGTCAAGCGTTAAACTGCTTCTCTCCGGCCATTGCTTATCAACTTGGGTTTCTCCCGGAACATTGGGATACGAGAAACTTGCTGGTGCGAACTCTCAGACGACATCCCGCCTTGCTTGATGAAGATTGCTCCTTCGAAGATCAAATAGGCCCTCTTTTCCATGAACCCGTAAAGAATCTCAAGAACGTATGGCGCGAAGCAAAGCCACGGGTATTCGTTTATGACAAGATCGACGAGTGTTGTCCTCCTGAGGAGTATAATGGAATCGTTGACTTCTTCGATCTTCTGGTGGATATCCTTCACTTTGACAACGGTATCCCAGATTTCCATCTGTTCTTTGCTAGCGGGCCCAAGTTCTCCTTGAAGGAGGTCCTTGAGGCGTTTAGTGGTCCATCCGCCTCTTACAATCTACAAATATCCAACCCAGAACCAGATTCACCCATAAGCATCGTATCGTTTCAACTTCGCAACCCAGCCCCGCCTCCACCCCCACTCCCACCGCCATCTCCGCCACCTCCGTCACCACCACCGCCTCCGTCACCGCCACCACCTCCGTCACCACCACCGCCTCCATCGCCGCCTCGGTCTCCTCCACCGCCACCACCTCCCCCCTCATCACAGTCGTCCACTGCTCCTCCGTCAACTCATTCCCATTCGCAACTCTCAGCTCCTTCTCTGTCCGAGTCATCTTCAGAGCTGACGCCTCCCTACCTACGCGAGCCGGCTACAAATACATCTTATCAGCCCAATCGTGTGCTCTTGTCGCATAACTTCTACCCCGGCGAGGATCATGTAGACGATCAGCATTCTCAAGAGATATTGGCTTTCCGGTGCTTCGAGTATATGAACTACAAGTTTCAGGAGGACGTTTTTCAGGGACTGGGCAGTCTGGAGACACTGGCACGAAATGAAGAGGCGGCGCCTTCGTCAGCGTTGTACTATTCGTGCATTCATTGGGTGGATCACCTTTCTCAATCCGACTGGACCCTTTTGAAGGATTTCCACGCTGCAGCAGGGACTTTTCTGCGATACCGCCTCATTCATTGGCTCGAGTTTATGGTCACCGTAAATCGAGTACACGATGTCGCATTGATGCTTCGTACCGCCTCGAAGGCAGTTGAGGTGAGAAAGCAACTACGACCTGTTAAACATTCTACCTAACGGCGTCGACAGAGCTCTCTATGGAGTGAGAGGGGGCGCACTCGACTTCAGCAGCTTTTTTATGACATTGAGAGGCTTGTTTTGGAGTACCAATCTTCAGAAAGCATAATGAGCCTGGGTCGTACTGCGCTTCATCTCTCCCCTCTCAATAGCGAACTTCGCCGATCTTTCCGTATTATCATCGCACAGGCTGAGTCCGGAGCGTCATCTGTGATGCGGGAACATTGGCCTGCTCGTGTTCTCACTATCGACGTCATGGTATCCTTGTTTTTTAGTCAGCAATCGAGTGACAACAGATTTTCTCTCCCAGTGATAGGCACCGCAGTTTCTCCAGACTGTATGAGGCTAGTCTCTTGGCAGGAGAATGGTCGCTTCCATCTGTGGGAGATGCTATCTGGACGTCTTGTCGGATCCTCCCGCTTTCTAGCTCCACCCACATCCTTGTGCCCTCACCTCGATCCCACCAAGCCCGAAGCCACCGTTAACTTCTCGCCTGACGGCACCTCTGTCATTATAACGTCGTATCGGGACATCTTTGTGTGGAATTTTGTTACAGGCATCAATGCCAAGGACCAATCGATTACGCTGGGTAGTAAAGATGGGTTCGCACTGTGCTCCGCGTTCGGCATGGACGGTCAAGGAACCGCCTTCATAGTAGCGGGGACGGTATTTTCGATTATGACATGGCGACGAACACCAAACTCAAGGTGGATATTGTCAGGATCCCAACGCACTCCCATGTGCACAAAAACAGTGTCCATCTCCCCTTGCGGTCAATACATCATGTCATCCGCATGCTCCCTTGCGATGAACGATGTGGTTATTCGAAATGCAGATAACCTTGAGATTGTCAGCACCCTATCCGCTGCTTCTGAGGGTTTATTACGAAAGCGGCGTCTCTGCCAAATGTTCGTTGTAGATTATGCCCTTGCGGTGTGGTCATCTCAGCAAGGTCGTTGGCTCAGTATCTTTTCTCTAAGAACTCAACGACGTACCTTTGAAGGAAAACTAAGGTCTTCTGTGGACGTTGTGGAGATCGAAGTTCAAGGCGGCTATCAGGCTCCACCTAACTACACTCTTTTCGAGATCAAGCTTATACACCTCGGCAATCAGCTCGTTGCACTTGACATCGACGGCCAACTTTACTCCACCAGCGGACTTCGTCTGACAGCATGGTCACCCGCAATCCCGCTCTCGCATGGTTCCTACGCACGTGTCGCAACTGTATCTGATAACGGACGTCATATACATATCTGGGACCCTTTCATCCCCGTTGAAACCACAGAGTCAAACGCTAAAAGCGTCTTCAATAACCGTATGAAAGCACTCAGAGCGCCTAAACCTCCTCGAGCGTTGTAGACGGGGACACGGATTTCCTTCTGGGTCGCGAATGGTGATAAGAAGTTTGGCACTATAGCATCCATCAGTCGCATGGGAGATGTAAGTACCCTGACCCTTCTGTCGAAAAGGGTCCTGATTGAGCCCGTATAGGGATCCGAAATCGCAAACATAGTGGTCAACGGCGGCGGGAACGTAAGCCTTCCGTGAGTGCACTTTACATCTCCGACGAAAACCGCGTCAGAATGACACTCTCAATGCATGTAGGGTGAGCACCTTGGAAAGAGTTGAAGCCCCATAGAGTAGCTTGAAGTCCTTGCTACAGCCCAGTGCTGATAATGGGCCCGGAATTTCCCTAAGCATAGAAACTTCTATATATTTGAAGCGCACTGTTTTCCGAGTCCCATATGTCTACACTCCTCCACTGCTCCCAGACTCTGAATCAAGTCCTTTAGATCCGCGGGTAGACGTGAAGCAATTGCATACTTGCAGGAGTGCTATGTACTCGTTGCCGCATTATTGGGTAACGCCGCGCTCCAGTGCACGGCAAAGCCCGTTACCGCGGATTTTTTCAAACCGGCCAATGAATTAATGAGGTATAAGTATCAAATCATGGCGCTCAGGCTCTCTATGGCCATGAACTGTGGACGAGGCATATTTTCCATAACTTTGGACGCGAGTTGAGTCTGAAGTCATGGCATACAATGTTCACCAGTCACTGGCGCGGCCACCAACAGAACACGTACATCGTAGCAAAGAAGGCTGAATAAACTAAAATTTAAATACAAGGACCAAGACATTTAAACCATACCAAATCTACTATCTTACACATACTTAAGGAAGGTATGAGAAGCAGCGCGCGATCTAGACACCAAAGGTCCAACAGTAAGTCTCAGTCGTCGCGCGGGGAGAGCGAACGCTGTATATTACCTAGACACCAAAGGTCCAACAGTAAGTCTACAATGACAATGAGTACAGTGTCTAGCGTGCGGAAAATGTAAGTGTCTCACCTCAGTCGTCGCGCGGGGAGAGCGTGTCGGAATCCGGAGGATTCCAGTGGCACCGCGAGACACGGATGTGGCGAGCGGAGAACGAAACGAGCAGGACGGGAGAAGCAGAAGCACAGGAACTATACAGGCGGCGAAGCCACCGTCTTACCCTCTATTCGCTTGTACCACGAGCGAGAGAGGGTAAGCAGCCGTTCTACTAATATCAGCGTATATTACTGTAGCTACACGACCTTAAGTTCGTCACGCATCACGCTTGGCTGGTCTTGCGAACTTAGGACAGTGTTTGTCACTCATCACAAGGGTTTTTGGACCTCAATATGTGACAAAAAAAGTAGAACGGCTATGGGTCTGTTATCTAAGTGTGTCATGCTTTCAAACATTTAACTGGTGTTTAGTAAACCTCTAATAGCTACGAAGAAACCCGAATGCGTCCACAATGACCATACTCATGCTGCGGGAGTAAAATATCGAGCCCTCCCTGAAGATACTAAGGTACATTGAGTTTAAGTCGTTTTAAGTTGGGTATTAAGGAGGCACAACGAGTGTACGGTTATGGCACCATGGTTAGAGTGCTGTAAAGACACTTACTGGGCATATGAGAATCCAGTGCTTATGACCAACAGGCGACAGTCTTCCATGGCAATAGAGTTCACGTTCTTGAAGCTGTAGAATGTCATGATTTGGCTGCTACTCGTCACTGGGACGACAATATTATCACGGCTCTGGGGGCTAATGACTTAAAATTTGTAGATTCCACCGCTTCAGTCAAGCTCGAGCCCGAAACCTGCGTGGTCGGAAACCTTTTTGGGACGTCACGCAGGGTGGGTGAAAACCCTTAGTTCAAGGTCACGCGTTAGCCAGACATTTGAACTATCGTCTAGGCTGAACTTGATTCTCGTCACATGTCACGCAAATTTCTTTTGAACTTAAGGTCGTGTAGCTACAGTACTCACACATCCTTGTAGTCTGACATACGCTAGGTAGAACACAATCAATTCGCTTGTACCACGAGCGAGAGAGGTCTGACATACGCTAGTTTTAACAGGTTATGAGCGCCCTGCGCTCGGCGCAACCTCACTAGTAGACCCGTGGTATTGGATGAATCCTTGCTTTGACCCGGCAAATTCACCCACGTTTCGCACATTGTGCCAGTCTCTGCTCGAATCCGCGAGTATGTCCCGTAGGACCTCGCACCCTTATAGAATTGGAACAGTAGATGACGGAGAGGAGGTGGCCCCAGTAGACGCTACCACAGTGGAGCCGTCACCGGCGATGGCACACGGGTACGCAGCAGAGTCTACAATTATCCGTCCCCACCCCTACCGCGTCTCCTTCGCTACATCGGAAGAACCAGGCCAAGCCACTCTCTTCGAGGGATACTCGGAAGCTGAGGCCACTGGAAGAATTTTGGATGAGAATGTCACGACCCGACGCCCTTCCCGCGCGGAGTCCACGCCATCCCGTAACACACAAAACCGAAACCGTCGCCGCAGTCCGACATCTGAAGCAGAACTCTCGGACATATCCACGTTCTCCAACGACAACACGCGTCGTCAGCAACGCGCGGCTACTTCTCAAGCACCACGTTATTCTTCCTTGCACCAAGCGGGCGCATTTGGCGCCCCCCGTTCTCCCTCCTTGCAGCGCGAAGATACATCCTGCACAGTGCGATCCCCGTCCTCGCGACAGGATCGCCAACAGGCCGCATATACTCATGCGACAACTCAGTCACCGCGGACACAACCGCATCCGACTCATCAGCAGACTCTGGCATACTACCCGAATGGGTTCCCTAGTCCTATCTCGTACCCAGCGCCCTTACCGCACGGCTCGTACATCCCTCAAGCGCCCGTTACCCAGGCGCCCGCTCCTCAGACAATATACCAGTACGTACCTCAACCGACGTACGTTGGTTTTCAAGGAGCTCCGTACGGACAAGGTGCGCAGGCGGTCGGCACTGTACCGCAGTACCAGCACTATGCCGCACCTTCAGCGTTCCCTTACCATCCGCAGCCTCGCGTCATGAGAGTTACCGGTACGGCTGCCCAACCACTCCTTCCGTGCTCCGCGCAGAATTAGCGGGGGAAGACTGGAAATTCATCACACGTCGCACATCAAAGAACTAGATCGAGCGACGGGCAACTGGATGATATGGGACAAATTGCTCCGACAACACCTCGGTACAAACCAGTACGACGACGGTTGGCTGGACGGCCTAGTGCCTCCACGCGATCCTTCGGGAGATCCTCAGTACGAGGAGGACTGGGTCCGGGCCAACAGCACTATTCTGAACCTGATCCGCGCGAAGGTTTCTCACGACGATAGACAACACATCGCCCGTTGTACGTTCGTTTCCGACGCACATGCCATCCTGAAACGTCGTCATGAACAACTCGGCCCTATCGCTCAAGTGATGCAGCTGCGCAAGCTGTTCACGACGAACTTCTCGAAGACTCAACGGTTGTCGGAGACCTCTAGAGAAATCAGGGAACTTTTGCATTCGATCATGGCAATGGGGCCAATGACCGAAGACAGGCTCTACGCCACGGGCCTCATGAGCGCGCTGACAAAAGAATTCCCCATTATCAGCAACGAACTAGCACATCAGCTCTCTACGACGAACCATCATGCATCGTTCGACCCTCGCCAAAT